GGCACAGAGGCCTCGCAGAGCTGCGGGGCGTCTGCGGTAGCGCGTTGCTCAGCCGTGTGCGGGAGTGCCTGCCTGCTGTCGAGCGCTGCCCGCTTCTCTTTTAGTCCGTTTTCCGCAGCCTCTAGTAGCCAGTCCTGATTTTAGACGTAAGTGCTTAGCTAGGTTTAACGAGAACTGAAGTTTTGTTTTTAAACGGGACAAATGATGCTTGCAGTTTGTGAGCAGCTCACTGTGCCCCTATTCTGTCACCTTTTCCTCAAAACTTACATATTCCTAAGGAGTGCCTTGTCCTGAAATATTCCTTGGAGTAGGCGGTTGAATTTCTTCAAAGGAAGGTTTCAGAGAGGAAAGTCGTCTTTTATAATTCTTGGAGAAGCTCCCTAAGCTTTGTTAGTTAATAATAAATAATAGTATGCATAATTTGCTCCAGGTGCTTCTTCCTAGGAGCCCAAGTGATTTTGCCATACTCATATGTGAATAGCTGTTAGTGTTTATACAGCAGTGGTATTAGGCGGTTGTTATGAAACCTACATATGTAAATACAAAACCACAGCAAAAAAAAACCCCTGTTGTCAACAACATCTTTTCATGGCCCAAATACTCCTCCGGTTCTGTTTGTGCCTCCTGAGTAGGAAAAGCTAGTGCGTTGAATTTGGGAGAGCGAACAGATGGAAGAGCTAGAAAGCAATCACAGTTGAAGTGAAGCCATGAACATCTGTAATGGATCCTGAAATGCCATGTCTGTATTTCTCACAGTAAGTCACTGAGCGATGAAGAAAACCTGAAGCTGTTTGGGAAATGCAACAATCCGAATGGCCATGGACACAACTATAAAGGTAAGGAGTTGACTGCCGTGCTTACACATGTAGCCTCGGATGGAGGCTGCTCTCAGGCAGGCTGGTTTGAATGAGGATTATTCCGCATGGCAGAGCTGGGCCAGTCATGTGTCTCAGCAGTCTGGTATGGCTTTTAGTGGCTGGTTTTGGGGTTTTTTAGAAGGAATCCTCAGCAGCAGGGAGGTTGAACCATGGCATGGATTTGCAAGCTATTAAGTTAAATAGATAATAATTATTTATCTCAAAATGCCACTTTGTGAATCAAATCTGCTTGTTTATAATCTGGAAAATCATTGTGTTTTGAATGAAGATTTTTCTAAGCAAAAGATACACAATTTAAACAGCCTGTAAACTTTATTTGAATGTTGTTTTCACAAGTTCTCCTACCATCTATACCCTATGCATGTAGAATCAGATCTCTCCAGTTATTAGGCTGGCTCCCGGTTTAGCACTGGGTATTGTAGGTACCCCGAAACCTCTGCTACAGAGCTACTGACTTTACCAGGGAAGACAGATTGACAGATTGCTGGACTGAGGATCTGTCCCTCATTTTAAAGCTGACTTACAGGCACAACAGTTTTTGCTTTCTCATATAAGAAGGATGTTCCCACTATAAAAAAAAAAATTGCTGAAAAGCTAGGGAGATGCCTCTAAAACTGTTCCTTGCGGGGTGGGGAAGAGAGAGAGAGAGAAGAAGAGCATGAAGGCGCTTTTCCACCCCAGAGGAGAATCATAACCAGGCTCAAATCACTGTCTTTCTGTTTTTGTGAGTTCCCCAGTGAGCTGTGATTTTGTTCTCAGCTCCTGGGGTAAGTGAGAAGGAATGCTGAGCTTATAAGGATGGTGTTTCCAAGTGTTTGTCTCTTTTGTTGAAAGGACTTCTGGGTTGAAATGACACCTTGCATTAATTCTAGTTCTTAGAGAGTTGGTGGCCACTTCATCCTTTACTTTCGTTCTCTGGTATTCCAGAAGACTTATAAGCTGACCCCCACATCTTATGATCTCAGGGGTCCAGTGATTGTGTGGACACTTAGGGTGTCTGCATTGTCCAGAAGACTGCTGATCAAGAGACTCTGATCTTGAGTGTGCAGGGTGCAGGCTGCCATAGGGAGTATGTATTTTCTCTGCCTGCAAGGGGCACTTCAGGCGTAGCAGTGTGTCTCTGGGCATCAGGCCTTGGAGAATGACTTCTTCGATGAGCGGGGTGACTCTGAGTCATTATTCTTTATGGAGTGGATACCCATTTTATAAAGAGAGTCCCACTTTTAAGTGCTGGGAAGCCTGCACCGGTCCTTGTGGATTAGTGATGAATGGGTTGTCTGGCCTAATCAGTAGTGTACTTTGTTGTTAGGTTCATGGTGTCATGGTGACCTGATATTTTCTTTTTTTTCAGTTATAGTCACTGTGCGTGGAGAGGTAAGTGTGGCCAACGTTTTTTTTCCGTTCCTTGGGGTGGCAGGATAGATGGGTCCCCGTCTTCCACAGTACTGAAGTTCTAGCTCAGTTGCTAGGTTTCCCAGGGTGTTTGTGGAAACTCTGTACACATTGCTATAGAAGAAGGTTTTTCCGTAATCACTGTCCTATTCACCTTGCCTCTTACAAGGATTTGCAGGTGACCATATTTAATCCAAGGTTTGTAATCATCCTCTGGGCACATAACTTAGTCTGCCAGAGCCTCAGTGCAGAATATATAGGCTCTGGTCAGATCTGTGGGGCACCTTTGGATGACTATTGAGCCACAGGGAGGCTTATCACATCCAGTAACTGATTCTCTCTGCTGTTTTATTAAGGCATTTTGCTGCAAATATAAAAGGAAATTCTGCTTTTGCAGTTGTTATTGTTCTGTGTATTCTGCAAAGTGAGTTGTTTAGATAGCACTTTGGTTTTGATGTTTTCCTAACAACTTTCTGAAGATTTCCAGTTCATAGGAAAGGGGGTTTCTATTCAGATCTGAAACCAAAATTTCAAAGCCTCTTCCTTCTACATTCCCCAAATATGCTGTGAACTACACAACCTGATTTTGTTCCTGGAGCTGTGTCTTCTCCAGATGGGAGGATGCCCTGAGCTCAGGCTGGTCTCTGTTTTGTCCCTGGTTGTTCAACCCAGCAGTTTAATGCCTCTTTTCCTTCTTATGGTCATGTTAGATTGTTGCTTGAAGATTGAATGTTTCAGTGAGTTTTTCCTCCCTGGTGTCAGCTTTCATGAGAGAGTGGAATCACTGGAGTTTTTTGTATGCTGTATCTAGCCTTTGGGAACATCCCAGGAGTAGAGCTGGAACTCAGTGTGTGAAGGTGGAAAGATACTTTTCTTGTGGCTCAGATGTCCTGAGCACACAGATATTCACAGTCTGATTTGTACAGGCTCATGGCAGCCTTGGTAATAAGGACGTGTAGCTAGGCTACTAATCTCCCTTTTGTTTTCCCTGCAGATTGACCCAGTCTCAGGAATGGTTATAAACCTGACAGACCTGAAAGAATATATGCAGGTAATAGCACTATGTTCCTACACATCCCCTGGGAGAATTGATTAGAGCTTAGCAATTTGTCTAGTACCAGGGTGGAGACATGGTGAGTTGATATGAAATAAAGAAGAAATTAAGGAATGATTTAAGACTAAAATGCATTAGCACTGTGATGTCAGGCAGCACCATGTCTCCAGGTAGGACGTTAACAGGCGCATGTAGGGCTCTTATCCTTTTTTAACATACTGTTGCCTTGCTCCAGTCCCATTTGCATGGTAATTTGAACCCCAGTTCCACTGACCAACCAGGATAAGACTGTCACTGTTTTCTTTCTGCAGGAGGCAATCATGGAACCTCTTGACCACAAAAACCTGGATAAGGATGTGCCATACTTTGCTGAGGTTGTGAGGTGGGTGATGGGGACTCCTCGTGATGTTGGTTGCAGGGTCAAGGAACAGTTTTCAAGGCTTAGTCCTACATCCGAAAGAGCAGCCTTGATACCTGTGTGTGTAGCGCACCTGTGACACACACTTGTGCACGTCAGGTGCTGGGTGCCCTGCCTGCCTTCCAGCGCTGCTGCCATGCAGCCTGCCTCACTGTGCCGGGCCGGGTGCAGGCCTGCGGGGGCAGCTGCTGTCCCACATACCGAGGAAGGCACCACTTGTTTGCACCCGAGGAGCCCTTTGTAGACTGGCACTTGTCACATGAGCCTGCTGTGTGGACAGCTTGGGGAGACAGAGATGACCTGGTAATTAGACCTCTTTTCATCCATGTTTGCTGGCAATGGTTCAAACTCCACTTATATTCAGGGGGTCATCATGTGAAAGCTGCCCGCATGGTTCCCTGTGGCCTTTAGCATCCCCCCTGGCCCATTCTGGGTACAGCCTCAAGTATCATTGCTGTCAGTTCTGAATCTGCTCATGTTTCACTCTTAGCACCACAGAGAACGTTGCAGTGTTCATCTGGGAGAACCTCAAGAAGCTACTGCCCATGGGAACTCTTTATAAAGTCAAAGTGTATGAAACGGACCAGAACATTGTTGTTTATAAAGGAGAAGAAACAATCTCTGAGAAATGAAATGAGCTTAAGCTCAACTGGTCAGAAATTTTGCTGCATAATCAGATCAGTGGATTACTGAGCTCTGCTCAATCTAGCAATTCGGGTTTTCAGAATTTGTTGATTTGTCTGCTTTTTCTCAAGACATTCCTGTTTTGCAAACCCAAACGACCAAGCTGATGTGAAATTTACCATCATGCCATATTAAATAAAGCAGCTTTCTAGAGAGGAGATGGCCTGGCAAAATGTATGTCCTGTCCAGTCACAAAAGGCTTTGATTTTTCTCTAATTAAACATTGGATTAATTTATGATTTTTAATGACCTGTGCTTTGGTGTTGTTTTGGTTCTTGATCAAATAGAGGAACATTCTTGAGAATGAGAACTACGTGATTCTCTTTTCTTTTTTCTTCCTTTTTTTTATTTTTTCCCTGTGCTACAGGCTCATTTCTTCTTGTGGCTAGCAGGTCTTTCTCTGTATACTGGTATACAGAGAAAGGTATACAGGAACTGGTATAGTGAGCAGTATAATAGTTTACAAAGCAATTTCCAATCCAAACTGCAGAGCTAAAGAGAACAGTATGTTGTTGAGAATCAGCATGGGAAGCTGAGGAAACTGCAAAGTTGAAACATTGCAGCCCCAGGGGTGTCAGGGTGCCCTGATGCATGGGTGAAAGTGGAAGTAGGCGAGAATAAACCCTTAAATACTGGTTATCCAGCTGGTGTCCCAAAGATGCTGCTCTAGTGAAGTTTTGCTGAGAGAACGCTTTTCATCTTAGAAAATTCTAGCAGATGTTGTTTCATTGTAGTGCAAGTACTCACTTCTTAGATATCCTGTGGTGCTATGTCAGCTCAGGGCAAATACAGACATATAGACACAATCCTCACCTTGCTGAAGAGTCACCCCTGCTAGAGGAGACTTTCTATTCTGCATCTGATCAGGAACAGCTGAAATAGTAGGGAAGGTCCTGTGATGCCTTGAGTCCATATCCACTGAAGCCCCCCTGAAGGCTTGTTGGCACAAGCAGCCAGATCAAGCGTGCTTTTCTTAGGGAAGTTTTTATGAGTTCTGTAGGAACAGGATCAAACTCTCTTATTTCATCTTTCTGGAGAAAGCAGTCAGCTCGTGTTCCTGCTGCGATGATCAACAGCTACTTGCTATTTTCATCATCAGAATCCCATGTTGGGAAGGCCTTGTAGACAAAAGAAGCACTTAGTATGCATCAGTCATCAGGGTTGCAGGTTCCTGCTGTCACTTGCAGACGAGGAGATGCAATGCTGTTCGGCATAGGTTGTTAAAAAAGGATGAGACTGTGAGATGAGTTTAAATGAACACTTAACCAAATAATTATTCTGAAGATTCCTGAAATCGTAGGTATACTGTGAAAGCTAAGTGCTGGAAGAGGAATGCATGTAAAACCAGTTAGAAAACAAGTTATTGTACAGTTCCTGTGGTTAAGAGCCGTAAGATCAACCAGTCTGTCCAGAGGCAGAAGTGATAGTACTGTGCATGATTCTCTTTATCACATGAGCAATGTCCTGAAGAGTAATTAGGTATGGCCATGAAAAATAACTTAATGCACTTAATGCATATAATTAAAAAAGTGATACCCAGGGTAATAATGCCCTTGCTTTACAAGGAAATTATGCAGCTGAATAATGGTAGCAAACATCACCATTTAGAAAGGTTTAATGAAGCTTGCCTAATAGTTAACCTTGGCTGCACTCTGCTATAGGCTGAGGGTAAAGTATCCTTCTGTAGCTACCAGTTCTGCTAGAAAGCAGTTTTTACAGTTCCAAAAAATACTTTGACTGCTTTCTTTTAAACTGCGACTGCTTTATATGAGGACAATTCTGTGCTGTCTCCTGCCTTGATCTATCTTTGCTCAAACTTTCTGGTGGGGTTCTAAAAGGGAATAATAAGAAAAGGCTGGAGATGAGGGATATTCCAACGTTCCCTCTTTGGCAGAGCAAAACCTCTGCCATGGGAGCTCCAACGTTGGGGTTTTTTTCCCTCTTAAAGACAGTGCTTTGGTGGATAATTGGCTGAAGGTTCATTCCGGTGTCACGCGAGTAGAGAGTGCTCAATGCATCAGATGAAGGGAACGCACCGTTGCCCCTTCTTCCCCTTTTTTTCCCCCAGATGTGGAACCAGTCAGCTTTTTTCAGTGTGGGCTCTGGCCAGGGAGGTGTTGCAGCTTATCTGAATGTTCTGGTCCGTAGTTCACTAGTGTGATAGGTCATTCCGGTTTGCTAAAATGGTGTAAATCATACTGGATGATAGCTGACGATGATGACTCACAAAGCATTTGGTGTCTTCAGTGAGTCATGGAGACTAAAACATACGACGACGTTTTGTCTTTATCAGAGGAGCAATTTACCTGTTGACATTGTTGACAAAAAAAATGCAAACAAATGGTTACATCTATATAGCACAGCCCATTGCCATTATTAGCATGAAGTCAGGTGGTAGGCCAGAAAAAACTAGCCCAAATTCCTCATCTTTTACTGCAGTGCAACATAGCACTGACAAGGTCCCACAATAGCTTAGGCATTTATATTTATTGCTGTGTTGCGTGATGGAGATGTATTCATATCCTTTATTCTGATCTCTCCAGTTTAAATGGCAGCAGATCTGGGGAGAAGGAGATAAATTGGTTGACGGGGTAGTGGCTTGGGTGAAGGGGGTCGGCAATATCAGAGCTGGAACTGTAATTGCCTACGTCCCAAGAAATTACAGTGTGTTCTGTCTCTTCTCCTGCTTAGAGGGGTCTTGATCTTTGCAGGTGCGTGTGAGCTCCATGTAGAGAAGTCTCTGTAGGAGTCAGCCTCCAAATTCACAGGCTGGGGAGGGAAGGTTATATAAGGAGGGAAATAACTCACATAATTAAACATTTAAGCATCTCTGTGCTGTAACTTAGTTACTGACTGATGAAATTGTTTGAAGGAGAACAGCTCAGGTGATGGTGGGGTCCAAGACAGCAATTAAAAGGTCAAAGCTGATCCCAGGAGAGCTACTGTAGGAGCAAGACTTCCAGCTTTAGTGGACATAAATGTAACTAGCAGTATAATGACACTAAGACCAGAAAAGTGGTGTGTTGTGTTTAGTAGGCACTGAGGGAGAACACCGAGTTCTGCCTTCCTGTCACACGGAAAGATAAATCATCAGGTTATATGGAAGAGGAGTAGTGCCAGGGCAGGGACTGAGTGAATGGGGAGCCTTTGCAAGAAGCTGGCCGCGTTGGTTGCTTGCGCTGCACTTATGCTCACGTGGTGCTTCAGCTAACATGACCATTGGTTCTGCCAACTAGAAGCAAAGCAAAGTTTGAGGCTGTCCAGTTTCAAAGGAAAGCTGTTTAGCAGCAGCTCTTCTTTTTTATTAATTCTTTCTAGGGAGCATTTTCCTGTTCTGCCTTGCTGCAAGGAGAAAAAGTCCTATTCTCTTTTCTGTGCTTGAAACACAGTGACCACAGGAGGACTGTGGGTTCAGCCCCAGCTTTTGCAGTGTGGGGAGTGGGAATTGATCATTTTCCCATGACGTCTGAAATTACAAAACGGCACAGAGCAGAAGGGACATCATTACAAAAAGATCAGCAAAGCGAAAAACAGCAGCTAGGTCTGAGCCAAGTTTTGCCACTCAGTCTTACGTGCCGCTCCCTAGGCTGTTATTTGTAGTTCATTGTAGCCCCAACAATGACTGAGTTAATAAATAATCCAGGCATCGCTTCTCATCAGGCACTGAGTATGGGACATAGAGCCCACACCAGGAGCTGTTCCTCTGAGTTCAGACAACCAGCAGTATCTTACGATTCCTGAATTTAAGTTTGCCCCTGTAACATGGCTTCTTTGTCTATGTGCACAGTGCCTGGAAGGCAAGGAAGGCTGCGGGGGTGTTCACAGGACCTCTGCCTGCTTCAGTGCCCAAGACTGGCAGTGCCTTGGGAGGGAACAAGAGGTTGAAAGAAGCAACAGGGAGCCCCCAGCTTTGTTCTGCAGAAAGGTTGGGAAGGTGTCATGGTTTAACGTAAGACAGATTAATGAGAAGTAAAATCTGTAGTCCAAGAAGTTGGGGTTGTTCTGCTGATTTTTTTGAGGCAGTATGCATCACCTGGGTTAGCAGAACGGCTATTAAAAGTTCAGGAACTACAGGAAGTCAGTGGAAAGGTAAGAGTTTTATCCATTTGGTGTAATCACTCTGTTAATTATTAATCAACGTTTTAAAGCTAAATACTTTCAGTAACAGATTTCTACTCATGCTAAACTCAAAATTTCATAGATACGTCCTGAAGAATTGGGCTTCAGGGTTCATCTGATATACCCTCAGAGCCACTTCTCTGCTTCTGTAGACAGTGAAGTCCCTGTCAGATGCCACGTACCACCCTCCATCTGGCAGGCTCTCCCAGAGGCAAGGCTCTGTGCTGTGCTGCAAAAGGAACCGAGTGATTTACAACACAAAAGAAAAGAAGAAATGTGTTTGTCCTAGGCTTGTTTCAGGCCATGGATCAGACTGTCATTCCATATTTGTTGCCAGCTATGGAGTCTTTCAACAGTAACCCAAAGTTTCCCCAGTGTGAAACCCAGAGACTGTCACAGGAACAAAGATTGAACTAAGTCACCAGATTCTGGGTCCTGGATGAATTAGAGCTAGCAGAAGGGAGCCCTGGACTGAGAGACCACAGAGCCCCAGGTCCAGCAGACCTGTCTCACCACACCAGTGAGCCCGACCTCCCAGCACCACAGCAGTGCACTTTAACACTGGCTGCTCTGTATTGGCAGCTCTGTGGTGAGTGTTGGAAATGGACCAGGGGACAAACTGTCCGGTTTCCGTGGACCTTCCTCATATCAGCCTGCCTGGCCATGCATGAAAGCACTGTGCTTTCTCAGAAGTAAAGACAGGCTAGAGATCTAGAGAGAGAGCTGCCAAAGGGGCATTTTCTAGGAGAAAGGGTTGTCTTATATGTGATGACTCATTTGTCCTCTACATGCATCCACACAGCTGTAGGACCCTGTTGGTCTCTGCCATATGTTTCTGCTGCAGAACTCACAAGTTCAGCAAAATACTTGGCATCCTGA